ATGAGGTTATTGAAAATACCACGGCTTGGGTCAGGCGCACCTTAGTCCTCAAATTGACATCTTTGCTCTTGAGTACTTTAAAAAGGACTCGTGCAGCAGATTTGCCTAATGCAATATGTCATCTGATTTCTTGACTCATTGTTTCCATGAGTGTTGATAGTGGATCCAAGCAAAATGAAGTCTTTCACAGCTTCAATCTTTTCTCCATTTATCATAATGTTTTTACTGGTCCAGTGGTGAGGACTTTTTGTTTTCTTTACAATGAAGTGCAATGCGTACTGCATACGAGGGGGTCAAAACTGCAGATGTTTCTATGTGTGTGTGTGTGTGTGTGTATGCACATATTGGGAGAATAGATGATGTAAGTAGAGTAGTCATTAAAAACATAGGCTTTGAGTAACATTGACATCGATTCCTATCCTAGAATCGTAGTCCTTTTGCCTTAGTGTCTGTGCAAACTTAGAGAGAGTACATCATCCCTCTGAACTCCTGCCTTGTGTTTAAAACAAGGACAATAACTACCTACAGTATTACTGTGAGAATTAAACAAGATACTTTTAAACAATGTAAGAACTGAAAGTTTTGGCAATGAATATTGTTGGACTGACCAGGAAGCATAGTGTAGGAAAGAGTACACTGGTTACTAAAAAAAAAAAAAAAATTGCTAACAACCTTAATGCCTCAGGTATCCCTTTCTTCACAAACTGCACAGACAACTTCCAGCTTTCTCACCTGGGAGTCACTGTCTGTCAGAGCTGGATACAATATTACAAAATAAAATTTCAAAGATCTCTAACCTATCATGGCCTGTTCCATAGAGAAAACCTAACATGACTTATTCCATAGAAAGCTAAGCCATCTTTTTGGTATATTGTAATATAAAATATTTTTCTTCATCATGTAGCAAAAACAAAGCATCACAAAATAATAAAATGTCTGCCATGATCCTAAGAAAAAAAACTTTATTATCTTTCCCATTTGACTTATTGAAATTTTTATGCGTCCAAATTTTGAATACCATTCTTTGGGTGCCTGTAAAACCCATATCTTCCCAAAATGTGGTCCAGAGGGAATTCCTGAAACATATATTGGTGATAGCCCAGTTCACACAATTTCTCAATACAAAGCAGCTTTAGTTCCCTTCTGTCCTTTTTGTCTAGGAAATGTATACCTTTCCCTATGGACAGCAGAAACTCAAGATTCATTCCATCCAGAGACTTTCAAATCAGGTCCAGATAGCATCCTATTTCAAGCTCATACTTCCCTGCGTTTCAGCCATCACACTGTACTTGATACACAACAGCAATGCTCCTGGCTTCATAATGGTGTCCATTCCCCACCCCCTAGATATATGTAGGACCAACTTCTTTACCTTAAATTTAATCTTCACTCAAATGCCAATTTCTCAAGGAGTCTTACACAGACCCAACAATTTAACAATGCACATCTGTCCCTCCCACTGCAATAGAAATTTCATGAGCACTGGGATTTTTGTTACATTTGCTAATAGCTCTGCAAGTGTCTACCACTAAATAGTGCCTGGCACGTGCTAAGTACTCAATAAACACATGTTAATAAGTTTTTGAGGACCAAAGAAGCTGAGGGATGGAAAACACCTTAAAAAATATTTGATTTAGCAGTAGGAAACAACAACTCTTTATGTTTGAAAGGAGGGCAAATTCAAGAATAAGAAAAATAGATTTATGGCCAGAACCTATTTTTTTATTCAAAATTAAATCCCTTGGGGGCAGTATAATGTATGTTTTTTAACATTTGTTGTTGTTGTGAAGTGCTATTGAATTGGTTCTGACCCATAGCGACCCTGTATAGGGTTTCCGAGGAGCAGCTGGTAAGCTTGAACCACCGACTTTGCAGTTCAAAGGACTTTGCAGTCTGACGCACTAACCCACAGCGCCACACCAGGACTCCTTTATGTAACCTTAGGCACCTACTTTATCACATAGAATGCTTGTAAGAATTTTGGCTGTAAAATTAATATATAGAATAATTGAGAAGTGGCAAGCAGGAAAACTTTCTAATCTGAATTCTGGAAATGAAATCTGGATCTTATCTTGAATCCAAACAGCTCTTGGCACTCAGACTGCTAATTTACTGGTTAGTTGAAGTCCCCTCCTCATTTCATGGAGGAGGTATAGCTTGCCAAGAGAAGAGAAAACATTTTCTTTTGCTCAAGGTCATATAGTTGATTAGAGGCAAGGGTAGACTTAAATTTTCCTAACCTCTATTCAGTTTTCCTGTCATAAGTACAAGAAAAAGACAAAAAGGTTTGGTTCTTTTTTGTTTATTTAAACAAGTGAATATTGGATACACAGTCATCATCTGTGGCTATTTGGTTGTTGTGAATTGATGATGAACAAATGGGGAAATGAAAATTATTTATCTTTAATATAACATCACCATAATTGCCCTATTCAAGCATTCGGCCCCCCTACCCCCGGCATTATCAATGCTGTTGTTACCATAAGTTGATTGCTATAGGGAGTATAACAGCTCCAGAAGGTTTTCTAGTCTGTAATCCTTATGGGAAGGAGCTCTGGTAGCGTAATGTAGTGGTTACGAACTGGGCTGCGAACCTTAAGGTCAGCAGTTCAAAACTACCAGACGCTCCGTGGGAGAAAGATGAGGCTTTCTGCTCCCGTAAAGATTTACAGCCTCGGAAACCCTGTACAGGGTCGCTATGAGTCGGAACCAACTTGACGGCACTTAACAACAACAACAATAAATACACCTACATAAGGCAGAACTTCTGAGAACATGTAATGTATATTCAGGCAGTTTCATAAATAGTTCGTATATCAACAAATTTGTTGCCACCCAATGACTTGAAGGGTAAAGTAATTGCTTTTCCAGTTAAGCAACTACACAAGAATCTACGCTTTAATGATTCCGTTGGACCAACACTGCCCTCCATTAAATCTGACGACTATAGTTTGCCAAGAACAAACAATACACCATGATAGGCTACATATAGGTACCAGTCAGTACCAGTAACCAGTTGCTTTGGAGTTGCTTCTGATTCGTGGCAACCCTGTGTGTGTCACAGTAGAGCTGTGTTTCCTAGGGTTTTCAATGGCTGAGGTTTCAGACATAGCTCACCAGGTCCTTCTTCCAAGATGCCTCTAGGTGGACTAGAACTCTACCTTTTGGTTAGCAGTCAAGTATTTTAAATGATTGTACCACTCAGGACTTCAACAGGCTACAATTGTTGTTTTGTTAAATGCTGTCTTGTCAGTTTCTACCCTTGGCCGCCCCATGTGGCAGAGTAGAACTGCCCTGTAGGATTTTCTAGGCCGGGAAGCCCTATACTGGGTCACTATAAGTATGAACCAACTCAATGGCACTTAACAACAACAGCAACCACCCCCAAGTGGTAAATGGAAAGTTCTAGATTTAGGGTTCAGACAGTAACAGAAGGGGAGGGCAGGTAGGAGATGAAGGTAGAAATTAGTGTTGAGCTAACATAATCTTCATTATGCTTTATGTCTGAATTATAGAGATTTCTTTCTTTTTGTATTACAGATTCTTTGCAATACAAGAAATGGCAATGCCCTTGGATTTCTTTGTAAGTTTGTTGCCATCTCCCAGGAATTTGTTCCTTTTTTCATCTCCTGAAATGAAAGTCACCAGCCTGGGCTAAAGCAATCCACTTGGGTTCACTTTGGAATTTGACAGTTCAGAAGAATGATTCCTATTCTCCATTTGTCATGTGGAAAGTTAGGTTCCTGGGAGGCACAAAACAAATTTCCCCTTACTTCTTGGATAATAAGGTTAGCTAATATCCATTTGTAAGAATGATTTTTTGTGTACTACGTTCATTCTCCTACCTTAAAAAAGTATTCTATTTTTAAACATTAAAAAAAATATTTTCTCCAGTTTGGCTTCACATTCTCTGAAGTATAGACTTCAGATTCATGTTATGAGTGACATAAAATGAGAGGCAGGCAACATGGTTGAAATATTTGGAATTTATTAAATTATATTTGCTAGCCAAAGATTAAGCATCTTCTTCATAGTAAAAATGTTAAATCAGGGAATATAAAATTTCTATCACTTTCATTATTCAAGGTAATTAAAAATAAATAAAGATCCAAAATTTAGATGTTTCTCTTCACATTGACTCATTTCAGTTGTTTGGCTCATTTTTCCACTTTGATCATGATGTGTATTTTAGAATCAGAATTATTTTAAAGTGACAAGAAACCCTAGAGTGCTTCTGATCCAACCTGTTCATTTTGCAAATGAAAGAACCAAGGCCCAGAGACATTATAGAAATGATGGAAGCCACACAGCAAATTAGTGGAAGGGCTGTGGCTAAATCCTATGTACCTTGAAAATAAAATTAGAAGCATCAGACCAAATTTTCTGTAGTATATGGAATAGACAAACACTCAAATGATATGTGTTTCTGGTGTAATGCTGCCTTTATAGATCAGAATTGTAGGCTGTTTTGGACACATGAATTACACAAGTCTCCAGAGTTGTTCTTTTATAGACCCTTCCTGAATGAGCTCTGAGGCACTGTAAATAGGAAACCAAAATCTTATAATAATCAATTTACTATATTTAAAAATATCCTGATGTTTTTTATAATAATAATAATAATTATAATAATCAATTTACTATATTAAAAATATCCTGACATTTATTATGAAATGTCAATAGATACATTTGAGTCATTTTGAAAGTGACAGTTAACCATATCTGTTCTTGTTTGTCACTCATTGGCTTTGTTATATCAATTATCCATAAATCTACAGAAACATATGGAAGTTATTTAAGAAAGAGGCAGAGAAATCAGCTTGCTCTGCCAACCAGAGAGAAATAAAACAGAGAGATTCATCTTTCTAAGATTGTTTAAGTTAAATCCCTTCAGAAGGTAACTAATTCTATGCACGCAAAGATCTCATTCAGGTACTTTAATCTATGACTGAGTCATTAAATATTGTATATTTCTGTTAAAATTTGTAATTTAGACTTACTTGTTAGTATATTCAACTAGATCTGTAGAATTCCTGGTTGACATTTTGGCTGGAGATAATCTTACCTAAAACAAAGGTCATGGATTTAAAATATATCAGCTGTAACTTTAAAAGGAAATCTTATGCACTATATCCTTATATGTTTTAGTTTTAAATAAAATATATAGACTATAGGCCGCTGGTCTGGTCAATCTTGAGCAATTTATGTTATTGACTAAAACTAAAATTAAGTTCTAGAAACACACAGGAGAGCTGCACTTCATAGATTTTGTAATAGAGTCAGAAAAAAAGTTTTGGAAAAGTCAAAGTCATAGATTATTCCTAGATAATTTTCAATGAAATATCCAATGATTATTGACTGAATTACTAGAAGTACTTAGAGATTAAATTACTCTTAACTTGCTGATTTCTATGGTGAATTAGCTAAAAAAAAAGCCCCAAACTAGAACACTAGCCTAGTTAAGTATAAGTGTTTTCTAAGAAACTTGGATGTAAAATTACTACAGACAATGAAAAATAAAAGCACAGAACACAGTTATTAATATAATTATTTGTATTACATATAGCTTGCCATAAAGATATGTAGCTGACAACCCCATTTCCAATAAAATGATACTACTGGAAAGTTCTAGTAAGAAATTTCACAATATTGCAGCATTTCTGAGGAAAGAAAATGCCAAATGTACCACCTGTTTTTTTGCATATGCTGAAAATTCTTTAAACTTTGATGCTCTTTTTTTTAAAATCTAAAAATAGGACAGCCATAGTTATATCTTAATTTTAATATCCTGCCATTTAACTAGATTCAAGTCCAGTGTTGATCCTACAGCACCACACATGGAAGGAGTCCTACTTTATGGTAAGCAACCAAAATAGGCATGAGGTTGCTTAGGATGGAGTCAGTAAGTGGCCAGAATGCCAGAATGCTTTGGGCACTCTCTCCCCATTACTAAGTGGGATCTAAGCTTAAACTTCTCATAAAGAAGAAACCAAACCCACTGCCACCAAGTGGACCCTGACTCACAGCAACCCTATAGAACAGAGTAGAACTGCTCCTTAAGGTTTCTGGGTTATGAGATGGCAAATCTTTACAGGAACAGAAAGCCTCGTCTTTCTCTCATGGAATGGCTGAAGAACCACTGACCTTGTAACTAGCAACCCAATGTGTTACCAATGTGTTACCAAGGCTCCATAACCATCACTTATGCTTTTCATAAATTGATCCACTAAGCAACAGGCGCCCACATCATGGAAACTACCTTAATTCCCTAGGATTTGTTTGGTCATCTCTTCCATCTAACCACCAATTTTCTTGTCTGTGGGAGTGGGCTTTTGTTATTAATGATTGGGTGGTCCTTGACATGTGTCAGATTCTATTTGATGGAAAGTAACAACAATAACAACGACAAAACCAACAGTCATGTGTAAATATCTGTAGAATGATATGATGAACACTATGTCCAGGAACACTAAAAATATTGATCCATTTTCTCCCTTTGAACAATGTGATGTATACCTGTTGTATTTTTAGTGTTTTTAATGCTATGTTTTATTATTGGAAGATCCTAAGTATCATTCCCTTAAAAACACACCTATAGCACACTTTTATTTTCAAGTGACAAATGTTTAATTTGATGCTGAAGGAAAGTTTAGATAAATAGAAAATACAGAAAAGCAAACTCTCACTCAAAATTTACAACCTAAAGATTGTTAATGTATCTATTTCCTTTGTTCTGTGTAATTTTTCATGTATCGAAAACTGTATTGTATTTAACATTTTATATCTTTACTAATGAAATATAGGGACTTTTTTTCATCTACCATTTTTACATGTGTTTTAACAAAATTGCCTTATAATCAACTTGATGGAGTTGATGTTCCCAATTGTTATTACAGAATTTTTACCTGTGCCGTTTTCACTTGTTACATAATTTGTTGTTGTTAAGTGTCATTGAGTTGGTTGTGAATCATAGTAACTTTGCAGTTAGCAGTCTAGTGCTTATCCAACAGTGCCACACCAGGACTCCTAGTGTCCTATAATGACACTTTAAAATGTTATGGTCATTTATGGTGATCAAGACTATAGAACACTTTTTGTATGTGATGTGATTTCATACTTACAAAAGCACTGTAAGATGATATTATTATCTCTAAGGTTGATATTAGTTGCTGTAAGTAACTGAAATATTTTCTTATTACAGAAAGAATCTAAGGTGAATAGTTTATAGATGAGAAATTTGAGGAACAGAAACATAGAAAAGTTGATCATGATCAGATGATGGTGATAATAGTTAGACCACAGTTATTACTGAGTACTTTCTACTTGCTAAGTAAGTCCTTTACCTAGGTGACTCATTCAAACTTTACAACAACTTTGTATGATAGGCTTAATTAGCCCCACTCTTAGAAGCGGAAACAAGGAGGGTAAGTAATTGCTAAAAGTCACTCTAGTTCACTGCATGGCCAATAGATACCAAAGATCAATGCTTGATGCTGACCTAGCTTTCATTCCATAGCAGTGGGCAACATCTGCTGGGAAGGTGTTAGGAGGATTACAAAACCACATTTTATTGGGGTAGATATGACAAGCACAATCAAAGAAACATTTCTATTTAGCATTCTCTTTTTCATGTTTGAGATCAAGTCTACATCTTGAGTTTGTCATGGTTCTTTTTGATCATCATGAAAAACACATTATTATTGAGCTTTTTGATAATCTTCTTTCCCCACACCCTAAAAGTCTGTCCAAGGAGACTCTGAGACCCTGTTTCTTTTCAGTTATCCTACCACCTGTCACTTTAGCAAGTCACAACAAACAGCGAATGAGGAAAGGATGAAAAGAAAAACCACTCTGCCAGCATCTTTAAAACTCTCTAAGCAACGTTAAGCTTTAAAGAAGTTGAACAAAATATTCTCCTTTTAATATGAATATCTAAAAGTACTTGCTTTCTTTTCTGGGACACTGACTGAGCCAGGAAGGGGGCCATCAGGTTCATCCGGCTGTTCCTCGGCAGTTGGAGAGGCATTTTTGTTTACATCTGTATCTAGGCAACCAGAATGCTGAATCAGATCGGGAACTATGACATGTAAATTTTAGTAGTCATGGTAAGGGCAGTCTCTGTGCATACGGCTAAGATTAAAAGAAGTTTCCAGTTTGTTTGATACTTACCCACTTCTCTCACCCACTACCCCAGTTCTCCTCCATGACAGTACTATAGGTACAAAGACCCTTCCAGAAAACATTTTGGATACTTTGTTGACACATGTGTATTCATTTAAACCAAACGGTTCTGAAATCAAAGATAATAATTTCTCATCCATTGTGCCCAAGTCATCTGTGCGCCTCCTTTGAGATAACTTTTTTTATTTGTACTAAGAATTATAAGGAAGATAGTGAAAAAGGAGACAGCTAGAGACATAAGTAGTCCATGAACACATACCTGAACTCATAGTGTTTGGTTTCCCAGATTCACTTTTTGTTGATTTGGTTTTTGGAAAGGAAGCAAAAAAAATTAAAAAAAAAAAAAAAATCTCAGAAAACCAAAGCAGTAGGGAATCTTGACTGTATCCTGACCAAAGCTTTCATGTTTCTGGGGCAACTTCCTAAGGGTGCCCAGCAGCATTGTGACTGGGGGAAGGATCAGTGATGTCAGCGGTCTTCATTTTCACATTTTAATCGATAAGTCTACGGGTTTTACTAACTCCAAAAGTGTTCTTTAATACTGTTGTCATAAAAAGCACTATGTTCATCATCTTTTTTGTCTCACTTTGTGGGAAGTGGCCATTGGTAACACTGATATTTCACTTCTTTCTTATTTTACCTTTACAATTTGATAGGATACTAGGTTTCCTATACATCAAATCAGACAAAGAAAAGAAGAAAATGAAATGCTGCAATACTCTCAAAGGTGTACAGATCTTTTTCAAGCATGGCAGGTATTCTAAGACATCTAACTTTTCTAGACCACCAGGGAGAAGTAATCAGAAATAATACAGTAATGACAGGTGAGTGGATGAAGGCTGTAATATTGAATTTAGGTATTGTAGAGGGAATAAATTTTATCAAGTTGTTGTTGTTGTTGTTGTTAAGTGTCATTGAGTCTGTTCCAACCCATATTGACCCCATATAGGGTTTCCTAGAAGTGGCTGGTGAATTTGAACCATTGATCTGGCGGTTGGAACCACCAGCTCATTAACCCACAGCACCACATTATGTAACCAAAAATTGTTCTAGCTCTAAAATATTTCCTGATTTTTAGAAGTGAAATTTGCATATTTTATTCATGCTACTTGGCCCTCGTCTATAGAAATGATGTTACTCACTCAGTTACTTTTCAAATTATGTGCCAAATTTGCCCTGCTCCAAAGAGTCTTGGGAGCCCTGGTGTGGTACTGTGGGTTAATGCACCAGACTGCAAAGCCATTTGAACTTGCAAGGTCAGCGGTTCAAGCTCACCAGCTGCTCCTCAGAAACTCTATACAGGGTCACCATGGGTCGGAATCAAGATCACTTTGAACTGCAAGGTCAGTGGTTCACCAGCCGCTCCTCAGAAACTCTATACCAGGGTCACTATAAGTAGGAAGCAACTCTCAAGGATAAGCACTAGACCGCAAGGTCGATTTCAGCAGGATGGTGGTGGTTCAAACACACCAGCGGCTCCTTGGAAACCCTATACAGGGACGGTATGAATCAGAGTTCGATGGTTGTACTGAACAACAAGGACACACAATATTTAGGATGTTGAATTACAGATTGACCTCACAAATACTAACCACCCACAATGTTAGTCTTTATGGCATTTTCTCTAGTGCTAAGCTAAAGCCTTAAAGTATGTTGTTGTTGTTGTTAAGTGCCATCGAGTCGGTTCCGACCCATAGCGACCCTGTACAGGGTTTCCGAGGGTGTAAATCTTTACGGGAGTAGAAAGCCTCATCTTTCTCCCGCGGAGCAGCTGGTAGTTTCGAACTGCTTACCTTAAGGTTCGCAGCCTGATTCGTAACTTCTATGCTACCAGAGCTCCTTAAAGCCTTAAAGTATAGACAGATACAATATTTCATGGTTTGCAAGCAGTCCCAAAAGCTCATTACATCATCGTAATCATAATTTTCTCTAGCTCTCAGAGGAAATGACACATAAAAGCAGCCAAGTACAGGTGGCTTTGGAATCTGAGAGACTGAGTTGGAACCCTCATTCCTCAACCTATTGTTTTCTACTTTGGGCAAAATTACCTCACTTCTTCAGACCTCGGTTTTCTCATCTGTGAGTTGAGATAATATTATGGATCTCAAAAGTGGTTGAAAGGATTAAATGCAACAATACATTTAAAGTGTTCAGCTGAGTGCCAGGTTGAGATAACTATTATTATTGGTTATTTCACTATGCAGAAATCACCCAAGAAAGAGACATAGGCAGGGTCTGTGTGAGAAAGAAAAATTGGATTTGACCATAAGGAGCTCTGGTAGCGTAGTGGTTACGAATCAGGTTGCTAACCTCAGGATCAGCAGTTCGAAACTACCAGCTATTCCGTGGGAAAAAGATGAGGCTTTCTGCTCCCTTAAAGATTTACAGCCTTGGAGACCCTGTACCGGGTCGCTATGAGTCAGAACAGACTCCAGGACACATAACCACCACCACCACCAATGGTAACATAGTGGTTACAAGTTATGCAGCTAACTTCAAGGTCAGAAATTCAAAACTATCAGCTGTTCCATGGGAAAGATGAAGTTTTTGAAGGATTTACAGCCTCATAAATCCTGTACAGAGTCACTATGAGTCAGAACCGACTCCACCACACAAAAACAACCACCACCAATAATTTTTTGAGATTTTTTTCCCCCTCGTCTTAAATTCAGTTTCCTAATCCAGAGATTGGTGATGCACTGGTGGCAGAGTGAGCAATGTGTTGGGCTGCTAACCTCCAGATCAGCAGTTTGAATCCATCAGCTTCTCTGAGGGAAAAAGATGAAATTTTCTGCTCTGTAAAGATTTACAGTCTCAGAAACTCTATACAGCATCATTTTGAGTCATAACCAACTTAACAGCACTTAACAACACCAATTCATAGACTAGAAAGCTGAATGTTAGAAAAATGGGCCCCACTGAAATGGAGAGCTCTAACTTGTTTGTTCTCTAAATGCCTGCTTGGTTTATAACAGAACAATGCACATAAAGTACAGAAATCATTGAATTCCTCCTGCTCAAAATGTCCATGAAAAATTCTTCCTGAAAGTCAATGATCTTTTAAGATCTCCCCTAATCCAGGGCACCCTAGAGTATAGCCTACCACACAGAAGGGAAAAATGTCCAATATCTATCTTTAGAAGTTAATAATGTTATATTCTAACATTAGATAAAGGATAGAGAAATGGCCTTGATGTCATCAATGAAGGAGTCATAGTTAGTGGGGAGGGTCATCTAAGACAGAATTTCAGTGCGTTGTTATAGTACAGAGCCCTGTTGTTGTTAGCTGTCATTGAGTTGACCTACAAACCATGGTGACCTGTGCACAATGAAAAGAAATGCTTCACAATTAATTATGGATTGGATTGTTGTGATCCATAGAGTTTTCATTGGCTGATTTTGGGAAGCAGAACCCCAGACCATTCTATCTTAGTGTGAGAGCTCTGCTAACTTGTTTAGCATAGTAG